TGCAGGTATTACACTTGCGAATTCCTTAGAGTTAATGAGAGGTACAGGACTAACGCGGAGGATGTAAGTCTCTATACTATGTGCTAGACAGCTTCACATATTTATGATACTAATATATTGTTTATCTTCAATGCATGTAGTTGCCAAGATTAGAACGTCGAACAAGCTTTGACGATACAGGCATCACAAATGTTCAGCGTGATCTGTGCCACTTCATCCACCATGAGTGCTGCCATGTGAAAGGAGATTTCTTCGACCCAGAGAGTGCCCTAGCCACAAGTGACGAATTCAAGGATCTTCGGGAGTGGAACAGTGCTATGCCATAATGTATTAACTAGATGGCGTATTTGAAGTGACAATGTAAAAAAATATTGTAATATATATATTTTGGCAACACTTTTGAGTTATGTAATATATGTACATTTATCAGTACCAAATGCTTGATAATCTTCCAATATATGTACATAATAATCTACCGGCAAGACTTTCTATTAAATAATTTAAAACTAATTTACGGGCAAATTATTATTAAATTCCAATATTTCCTACCTATCTTCGCAGGCGGAAGTTTTTTTTTTTGCAGGCGGCCGATTCCTATTTTCGCAGGCGGACCGGACTAGCCAACGTCCGCCTGCGAAAATTATCTTCGCAGGTGGATGGCCGCCCCGCCTGCGAAGATCGGCGATCTTCACAGTCGTTGGCTTACAGGCGGACGGCCTCCCCGCCTGCAAAGACCCTTTTCGGCCGCTTGCGATAATGCTTTTCCTAGTAGTGAAAGGAGATCAACAATGAGGAAGAGGATAGTAACGTGGAAGAGGCCTCGGTAGCATGGGACAGAAGTGGCGCGGGAGAGGGAGCGAGGCCGGATCCTCCGCTCCCCGTAGCCGCTGAGGCCAGATCCGCCTTCGGGAGCTCACTTCGCCATCGGGGCCAACTCCAGATCTACGCTCCCAAGGCCGGCCAACGTTGGATCAGTAGCTCCCGCAGCTGGCCAGTATCGGATTCACCCTCCCTAGGCCTACTGGGTGCCACTGTTGTTGCCGAATCGCTTCCATCGTGCTGAGTAGAGGGGCGACATCACGGAGGAGGGACACTGGTGAGGGAGGAGGAGCGGTGGTGACGCTAACGAGGGCCACCGGTGAGGAAGGAGGAGAGGCCGAGGAGTGGTGAGGGCCACTAGTGGGAGTGGAGGAGATGGAGCGATTGCGGGAGACGGGCATGGAGAATTGGAGATAAGGTGGCGTGGAGGTCGAGGAGAGAGATATTTTTTTTGTTTTTGTTTATTTTAACTGGGACATGAGACTAATATATCTGTAACGGCTCATAATCAAGAGTCGTTACAGATAAGGTGGTCATCTGTAACAGCTCCTAGTTGAGAGCCATTAGAGATAAGAGGATTTATATCTGTAAGGGCTTTTTTGGTTAGGAGCCGTTATAGATGAGGGATCTTCAGTAGTGGCTTAAGAGTGCTTTGGCCGTGTGTAATGGTTGCCTATGGCACCCATACAAATGGCAGAAAATGTAACAGTTTTAGTGGACCTGCCAAAGATGGCCTGTTACAGATGTTAGAATATGTGCTAGTGTCCTAAAATTTAAGCATTCTAGGTTGTTTAACAAGTATTACTAATATTAAAGAAAAATATTTTCTTTCAACCATTTGTGTGGTCAAAATTTAAATTTTGAATCGCTTAGATTCCCCTCGCAAGCACCCAATTGGTTGAGAATGTATTTACTTCCATGCATCAAAATTAATACCCCATATATACTTACTTCCTCTGTTTTAAAATAAATAAATCTAGTGCGGGATGTAATAATATGTCTAGATTTGTACTACACAATGCTATGATCCTATCAAGTACTAGGATATGTTATATATATCTCATATTAGGTTTAATTATTCTAGAACGAAGAGAGTATATTGTGGTATAAATTTTGAATTATAGATATGTTTATTTTAGGGGAAGAAAATATAAAGTACTTTTGCTATAATTAAGCTGGAGAGAAAAAATCATTTAACCCTAATCTTATTTCGCTCTCTCCTCTCCCATTGGAATTTGTTTGGCAAAAGATGCAGAGGAGTACAAATACTATACAACTGTAGTACTCCCTCCATCCTAAAATAAGTGCAGTTTTGCACTATTCACGTTCAACGTTTGACCGTTCGTCTTATTTAAAATTTTTTTATGATTAGTATTTTTATTATTGCTATTAGATGATAAAACATGAATAGTACTTTATGTATGACTAAATATTTTTAAATAAGACGGACGGTCAAACGTTGGGCACGGATATTCACGGCTGAACTTATTTTGGGAGGGAGTAGTAAGCTAGTAATACATGTAATTAGGGTATAACTGAAGCAATTACTGATGTTTTTCTTTAAAAAAATTCAACGACCACTGTAATATTAGTGCTCCCTCCGTCCCACGATATAAGAGATTTTGAGTTTTTTATTGCAACGTTTGACCATTCGTTTTATTCAAATTTTTTATGAGACGGATGAAGTATATTATTACTAGTAGTACTAGCAAACAGACAGACGAATGACATCATGGGGGTGACAGGTTCTCATGAAGCAGGAGAGAGCAAGAGGACAAGGATTGGTCACTTTACATGACCTCACTTCAACCACTACATTTATTGGGATTTGCATATCACGCCCATTTTGCTTTTGGCTCCCTTTCCAGGATCCAGAGCACATGGCACTTGCATCTCTCTATCTCTCTCCTCATGAGCTTTGTGATCAAGAGGAAAAATGTTTTGCATTGCTGTGCACAGAAAGGTGGCAATGAACTCATCATGGTCTCCCTCCCAGTACAACGTCTGTTGCCACTTGTTTTAAAATGAACCACTTGATGCAGAAACTCTGAGCTTTTCAACTTTTGTTTAGATACTAGTAGCAGAGTTCGTGCCCATCTCCCTTTGTCTCCCTTTGCATTCGCAGGCAGAGGACGGGAGGACGGCGGTGTGATATTTGTTAAGATGCCCCGAGGTACTACGTGCAAATGCAACACACATATGATCTCGAAATGGGACGAGTCTTGCCAATGCCAGCCGCATGTGAGTTGTTTTTGTTTTTCGTCCATCAACTGTAAAAGGCAGAGGCAGCCAGGAGAGAAAGAATGAAAGATAAATGGATCAGAGGAAGAGGAGCAAGATCAAGGAGTTGTTTTGTGTAGGGCCAGTGTCGAATCTAGAAATTTTCTGGAGTTCGACCACAACACACAGCAGCGAAGTATATCTACTGTAATGTGATGCCTAGGGTTGCTTGGGCCTGTTTGGTTTGTCGACAAAATAAACTCTACCGGTGTAATCGGAATTTAACAAGGTTAAAGAAAATGGATGTATTGTTTTGTTTGAGATTTTACTAAACTTTGATGTAGTTTTATGAGTGGAAGATTATAGAGTTTACTAAATTGGACATAGTAAGGTTGTGATGGTAAATTAGTTCGTCAAATTTTGGTTTTGGAAATAAACTAAACAAGCTATAGATCTTAGGTCCACCAATTAATGTGTCTTCGGCTTTGATCGAGGAGTGACTCCAAGTTAAAACTTGGGGAAAATTAACCGTTATTTCATTTGGAACAGTTCAATTCTTACGAGGGAACTTGTCAACATTCCTATTTGTAGAGACTATTGTTGGGAGTGATAAAGGAAAAAAAAAGAGAGAGATTTTGGGTCAGTTGGGTATATATGAAGCCCTATTGATTTATTAATTTTTAATTTTTGGGTACTCCCTCCATTCTAAAACATGGGGCACAACTATTTTTTCCATGTTTTATAATACAAGGCGTGTATACATGCATACAATTAACTACTCCCTCCGTTTTATATTGTAAGACTTTTTGGACTTATCTAGATTCATCTATTGATCAACGTATATGTTTTCTATACGTGTCTAGATTCATTAATATCTATTTATTTGGATAATGCTAGAAAGTCTTACATTGTGGAACGGAGGAAGTAACATCTTCCCGTCTCCTCAATTCGCTTTTCTAATCCTCCTCTCTCAAGATCTCTATTTATTGAGTGCATGCATTGTATTTATTGAGGTGATCCAAACGACAAGATGGTAATAATTTTTCCTTGGTTGTTGCGTTAATGGTTGCGCCTTATATTTTAGGATGGAGAGAGTACTACTGTAGAGTAGAGTTGCATAGTATATTGATTAGTAAGAATTGGCTTCAATTCAAAGAAGTAGCGAATACTATGGAAATTACCAGCCAGATTAAACCGGTCCTTCTGTTGGGGACTTGGAGTGACAAAGGAATGAAAAACACATGACTAGGAAAATAGTAGTACACATGAAACTTGAGCTGTTTAGATCACATGAATATTAGGGGATAGAGGACAACCAAAGTGAAGGAAAATGTCCTTTAAGTTGGACCTCATTTTTTTGTTTCTTTAGAAAGTACATGATTTCTCATATTTCCTTAGGAATATGAGATGCTCTTTCTTTTGCTCCAAAGAAGTTTATAGGAAAATTTTCCAAGGAAACCAAACCTCCACAATTCCTTCAAAATTCCTTTTGATCCAAACAGGCACTCGATGTTGTGGACAATACCATGATTATTTTATTTAGGCCCAACCCACCTTACCAAAATCTCTCTTAGCAGCATATCTGCAGCCCACTAGATATCCCATTTCGATTATCTGTTGGTCCATGGGCCTCCTGGCCCACCAACAATCCTGAATCCATGATAGATTCAACACACCCAAAGATGAGAATTTTGTTTATAGTTGTGTTCTAAATGAAATTCCAAATTCGACCTTAACATGTACTACCAGTAGAAAAACAACTTGCGCTGCTGCTGTCTCGAGGTTTAGGCCCATTTAGTCATTTGGATTTTCTTTTTACACCGAAAACTCATTTCCATTAACTAGCTCTAGGCGAATCGCCAGAGACCAGGTGGGATATGTTTGGTTGGTTGCCACACTTTGCCATGCCACACTTCAATTATGCCACAATTTCTTAGGTATGTGTTTGTTTCGCTACCGCATTTGTGTCGTGCCATACTTTCTTAGTTTGGGACATACATGTCATACTCTCAAATTTGGAGCTAAGTATGCCACACTTGTGGCCAACTATTTCTAAGTCACACTTGTGCCACCATGCCTCAACTAGTCTAAACTTAGTTATGGCAAGGTTAGGTATCAACCAAAATTTGGGCAAAAACAAAAAAATAAAGGTAAAAAAACGCAACAGCTGAATGTCATGAAGTACATTTTTTTATACTCGTACCTTTACCAAAAGACCTCGAGTCACTTGCATCTTGCATGAGCAGTCTGCATCTGTGGCTGTGCGATGATCCGGCCGCCGTTGGGCAATCAAAATGTCAGTCAGAGTAGGGCAAAGCAGGAGCATGTGGGAGCTGCATGTAGCCAAGACAAATAAAAAAAATGCTTAGCACTGCACACAACAACAAACCAACAATATCTGCAGTTAATCAGTTATCTAGTGTCAGACCAGGTACCTGCAGCAGCAGCAGCATCTGGTTTGGTTAGGACGAAGACATCGGCCACCAGCTCCCATGTGCCAAATCATTGGCCTTCGCATGGAAGCATTGGATAATTCCAAGCCGAATCGGCTGGAGAGACGGGGAGCTGATAACGAAGCAGATAAAAAAAACTTATCTCTGATTCAGGAGGAGGAGGAGGAGAATTTGCAGTGCGACATGATCTTTCCAACGATCACAAGACCAAAGTCAAGCTGGATCATGGGGGCTAACCCTAAGCCCCATGGTATCGCAGAATAAACCTAGTAGCTAGGTGCAACATGCATGGATGATCATTGAGATGCGGTGTGGGTTACTGGGTTATTCCCTGATTTGTTTGAGATTTTTGAGCTGTGAAATAATTAAGGCAGGGAAAAAAATTACCGTAGTTTCCAACAGAAGCTCAATTTCCGTTGAGCTTGAGAAGACAAGGGATCACCGGTTTCTTGTGAATCTGTGACCACATTATTCATTAGATAGCTCACATAAAAGTGTACTGAGCAGCAGCTTCATCACTTCTTTTTTTTTTCCCTGAAGAGCATGACGATCTTGTGACATGTGTGTCAGTCTCTATAATAGCAGCAGCAACTGATCAATGGAAAAAGATCCATGGTTTCAGAGATAAGATGTTCACAAATATCATGACAAATTATCTCCATATCTTTCCAGACAGACAGCATACTATACCACCCAGCCCACGGTTTCAGAGAAAAACCTGATTGGTACTGAACATCCTGCAGGTTTTATCATTTCATTTCAGCCTCTTGATTCAGCCGCCAAGGGGGGGTCACCTCGTCGGCTCACATGGAGGCAATGCATGACACAAACAGCCAGCAATCAGGCAGTGTCAAATCGTGCCAGTGTCCTCATGTGTTCCTGAAATGGAGATATGGCAAGAGGTGAGAGACCGATCCCATTACACATGCAGTGGTGTATACAATACAAAACATCGGCAGTAGCGATCACAGAGGAGTACATGGCATCAGGATGCAGCCATGGCTACGTGTCTGGTCTTGTTTCTGCAGCTGGCACATTGGTTGCCTGGAAGGCATTTCTCATCCTTTTGTGTGTCTTTTTTTTTCTTGTGCAGAGAATGCACAGTTCTGGGATGAACATGAGGTAGTGGCCATTAGGATTGGATTAAACATAGAATGCGTAGAGGAGCAGGTAAGTAAAGCCATGTGGCATTGGATGGCGGTGAAATGTTAGCCACCAAAATCCATGGCCTGCTTCATTCAAAGACCTTCACTGTCACTGTGTCTGTGGTTCAATCCCATCCAAGCAGAACGATGCAAATTGAATGGAAAATGACATTTTGAAGTGGCCAATATTGACTGGGATGGCGTAGGAGCCATCTTTTTTACACATGGGAGGTAATAATGATTGCTCATTTGTTCATACTGATAAGGATACCCCCCAAAATGCAGATTCAGTGATGAGTTAGTGAAGATCAACCAATCAGATTCCCTCCCTGATTTGCTCTTTGTCAATTAGGGGACCAAAAGCTTTCGAACGGGACCATTTGGGTTCAAGGTTTTCAGACTTAGCCACTTCATAGCCTTTTTGACTTAATTATCCTATGTGGTCAAATCACAAATAAAATATGTTTTAGCCTAACTTGTTTGCAAATCACAAATAAAATATGTTTTAGCCTAACTTGTTTGCAAATCACAAATAAAATATTTTTTTAGCCTAACTCGTTTGTTCAGTTTGCATTTGTTTTACACTAGGAATTTGTAAAAGAAAGACACACATTTGAAAATAGAAAAGCTCTGGCTTATGTACTTATCAAATGCTCAAGCTATCAGAGAGCAGCAGCATATAATATGATAGTTTGAAACTTCCTATAACATTTATGCTCAACTACATGGACTAAGACTTCAGCATGGATAACACCTACCAAGGCTTCCGAAAACTGCATTCTAACTTCAGCATGGACACCACCTACCAGCGCTTTCAAGAACTGCACTTTCAACAAATGTGTCAGACGTTTCACCTTGACGCTAGGTTTAGTCACATGAATCAAACAATTTCTTCAAACAACATTTGGTACCTATCCAGGACAAACATATATTGTATTTGTAGTAAGGGAAGACATAATAGAAAGAAAGTGTTCTTTTGTGCCTCTCAGTTGTGTTACCTGTATAAATATGTTTCGTACCTACATTTGGGATCTAACTTACAAAAGGTACCACAAGTTAAACTAAAATACCAGAATACATGGATAGATCAGACCTTATTGTCTCTAATTATTCCTTAGCTGATCTTATTGAAAACTGCAGAGGAATCGGCAGCATTAATTGCTTATGTTATATTTAACCTTCTCCACACAATTTCACTCTGTCATATCAGGAAAAAAAAAACAATGACATTTTTCATAGAAGATGATTCGCAATCGAGTAGCATCACGTGTATGAGCCTGAATAGCATATGGGTTGAAAGGGAATTGTAATGCTATGACACCCATAATAAGTTGACGTGGAGCAACGTTTGCATTTATACTGCACTATCTGCCTTGTGGATGAGCATAATTTCAGGTAGAGAAATCATTACATAGTATGGATGACCCTGCCTGTGGCCAATACACAATACAGCACTAGATAATTACTAGGTGTCAATTAAATTGGAAAAAAAAAAGGAGAAGAAACTCCATGTGCATATCAATGATGTTTTAAGTGGAAGGGTGCGACAGATGTTTGGTAGGACCTCCTAACATATGGACCAAGCAAAATACTGTTAATATTTAGAAACAATGATAAATGATGAATACTGAGATAACACTTGCAGCAACTGTAACACTTGTCAGATATTTAGAATTTGTACCTCTGAAGATCAGATATGAGGTTCCGTTTAGTCGACAAGACAAGGATATATGTTGTGATAGCGCTCGGAAACTCTTCCAGCTAGAAATACCAATGACTCTTTCTGTTGGAAATGGTTGAAAAGACAAAAGTGCAGTTAACAAGTGTCAACTTGAACACCAGAGATTGACACTCTAAATGTAAAACGAATCCACGGCAGCCTTCACCAAAACAAAGCAGAATTGGAACAAAAGATAATATTATTCCCGTATAAACAAGGTAATATTGGAGAGCAATGCTCCTCTTGCAAATGCAGAATGCAAAACAGGATGACTGTGGCCTTCAACAAAAGGAGCACAAATTATAAATATCATAGAGTTTCAGCCTTTTTTTTAAGTGTGCAAGGCGCATATGCAGCTGGTGAATCTCTGTATAAATAATTAAGGGTAAATTGGAACCATGCCATTATAACTAAATATGCATAGAGAGCAAAATCTAGCACAAGGTCGCCCTGCTGCCAAGACAAGAAATTGACTGGCACCAGCTAAGTCACTGGAAGCGTGGAACTATGCTGCGTTCCTCATCCCGGGAACACGGGAACAAACTCACCCTCCCTTGTTAAAACTAAAATAAGTAGCGTCCCAAAGTTCCTTGATCCCATTTCTTGGCCCATTGATCCAAGAACTTTTGTAACCAGCCTAGTTGTGACATATAATAAGTAATAAAGGACGATCAGAATTAGGAAACAAATAAAAAATGTTGGTTGATATTTAAGAAAACAGATAAGATCCAATTTTGAACCGGCCAGCTGAAATTGAAGGACTGAAGGAACCAGTCTCTCACCTTTAAAATGGAAATCTTCACTGGAGCCATCACTTGATTTTTCTTAGTTCTCAAAAGGGTCATTTTGAATATCAGTTGCTTGGATTGCAAACTTCAGCAATACCAATACCAATGGTTAAAGCGTAATGATGATTAATATTCCCTATCATCTAGTCCATGCTTCCACTATATAATTTCAATTCAATTTCTTAAGGGAAAAAAAAGGAAGCAGCCGTTCAGCACCTAGCAAAGATTCCATGGGCCAGTCCAAATCCTAGAAGCTATCTGCCATCCTTGGAAAAAGAGGAACCAACCGACTAAAGTTAGTCATGAACCTTGTCAAAAAGAAAGGCCCTGAAAGGAAGATATATCCTGCATTCTCTTTGGTGGCATGCAAACTCAAGAGTTATGCAAGGTGGCACCTCTGAATCTCGGGAGCTAACCATGAATCAAACTTTTATGGAGTGACTTGTTAGAGAATAAAACCTAACGAGAACCTAATTTGGTAGCAGGGTGAGATGCCCTCAGTTTGGCAGCTGGATGGTCCTTGTTATCTCAAAAGGAATTGTGGTGCTCATAAGTACATTGTAGAAACCAATCACTGCAGGGAACTCGAGTAAACTGAAACTTGACAAAGAGCCTAACTCAATTTAACCAGAATATAGGTACTAGGTGGCAAGGTTGATTAATTGGCTAGCACGGAAAAGCATGCTTTTTTTTCTCAAAAAATCAGCAAAGTGACAAACTTTGCATTTGTGCGGGTAGTGGGGAGAGGCCCCCAAAATTCCCACAGCACCAGCCCTCCATCCTCTCCAGCCACCAACTGGTGCCAAAGTTTTTAATGCCAGGAAAAGGCCAGCAAATGAGGCTCACACCCAACTAACTGTCTCAAATCTCTCACCTCAGAACATGCACCAATACCTTGCCCATCATAAATACCCCTCCACCCCTCCCCACCACTGCTCTCACAACCATAATAACCTCCCTACAAATAGCCTCCAAGAAACCAAGGCCAACACAAAACACAAACAATGGCAGCAATGGAGATTGAGTCAGTCAAGTGTGAGTGCTGTGGCCTGAGGGAGGACTGCACCCAGGACTACATTGCCAGTGTGAGAGCAAGCTTCTATGGCCAGTGGCTGTGTGGGCTGTGCTGTGAGGCTGTGAGGGACGAGGCGGGCAGGAAGAAGGCTCACCCAGGAGTGGAGGAGGCTGTCAGGGCTCACATGGCGTTCTGCAGGATGTTCAGGTCCAACCCCGCCGTCCGGGTCGCCGACGGCATGCGCCAGATGCTCCGGAGGCGGTCCGGCGACATGTCGAAGCCGGACACCTCCAAGAAGTACAGCACCGTGCAGGTCGTAGATGAATCATCAGTATCACTGTATTGAAGAGTTCATTCATCTTATATGGCTTGTAGACTGTCTAGTCCTCTTCTCAGGATTAGATCTCCCCTTCCTTCAGTAAGTTGGTGTATGTTCCTGTCATGAGAAGAACTGGAATGTACATAAGATTCCATGAGAATAGATGCCAGTAGTGATTGTATGGAGTTACCCTTCTTTTTGGTCAGAAATCAATCATGGGTTGATAAGATATACATTTGCAAAATAGTTGGTCACTACCTTCTAGTTGCGACCTAACAAAGGCAGGCAAGAGGTTAGCATGTGCAAGCTACATTGTTCACACCTAAGGTCATATTGCTTGCTGTATCTGACTTGACTTGTGATGTAGATGTAATACCATCAAGGAATCACTGTAGCGGTATTACCAGCTGGTGGTTGCAGTTGTTCCATCATACTATACTCCTAGATATTGTACATCAAAGTTGTAATGTTGTGGTATTTTTTCTTTTAGATTGTTAAGCATGGTCTAGTTAGGAACAGAGCAAAGATTGTCTGATGAAGCAATAGATATTGATTCACATACTAAACAGTCTATCAGTTCAGCACTCTTTGAGAAAAAACAATTGGAAGATGATCGATGCATGTGTTTATCTTTCACAAAAGAAGTGCATACAAGTATTTCAAGTTTCAATTTTGATATTAATAGCACGGCGATAATACAACAGATGAAAATTACAGGCTAAAATAAAAGGCTCCTTAAGTGGAATTACAGCAGCATGATCACAGTATACCAGTTGAATTCATAGGGTGCCCAGATCTGTGAAAATTGGATAAGTCCATAAAATTAGGAGTGCCTTTCTGTGAACTCTTCTTGGCACACAAAGAATCAATTTTCTCCTTTGTAAATGGCATAGTTTAAAAAGCTACTTTCTCCTTTGTAAATGGCATAGTTTAAAAAGTTGTTACCCAAAAAAAAAAAGCTTATGTTGAGAAGATTTTACAAATTAGTACCTGTCAACGACGTTCATTTCATAGTCATAGGCTCAAAGTTCAGCAATGGATTTATATTGCAGATTATTCTACTTTTGTCAACGCTCTACCATGATAAAGCATGCATCCAATCCACCCTTAGACTGCAGTGCATAAACACCAAATTCAGGTGTACTGTTTGCCTGTTTCAGACATAGATGTCGACACCATTACTGCATAAACCTCACACACAGGTGTACTGTTTGCCTGTTTCAGACATAGCTCGCACTCGCAGTCTTTGCGGACGCCATGGTTGTGAGGCATCACAGTGACGGCACACGGACTGTGGCGCAGCACGACGGCAATGCCAGCAGAACAGCACACGGCATGTGCGGATGTGCCGCTGCCGCCCTCGCAGAAACGTAAAAAAAAAAAGAAGAAAGAACTCCGCGAGTGCGACGCTCCCTGTGACGGCAATTTTCGACAACGAAATGATTTCGCATGATCACGAAAGGGACGTGCCATGCCGATTTGGCATCCATGAGCTACACCGCAACTGCGAGTTTACTACTCCCTTCGTCTCATAATATAAGGGATTTTGAGTTTTTGTTTGTAACGTTTGACCACTCGTCTTATTCAAAATTTTTTGAAATTATTATTTATTTTATTTGTGACTTACTTTATTATCTACAGTATTTTAAGCACAACTTTTCGTTTTTTATATTTACAAAAAAAAAATTAAATAAGACAAGTGATCAAACATTACAAGCAAAAAGGGAGCATTAGTTAGCACCCTCGGGGAGGATCAAGAAGCACACACCTGTATGTCTGGTCGCGCAATCCGTCGAGCACCTTGCGCGCACGATCCCCGCCGGCTTCAACGCGCTGCGCCGCCAGGCCGCGCCCTGTCACAGGTCTCGGGGACAGGAGCGGCCGGCCAGGCGATCCCGTCCGCATCCACATCACCGAGGTCGGAGAGGAACGGAATCATGGCGCATTTGATCCCACCGACAGCATCCGGCAAAAGATCAGAGGCTTGCAGGGGAAGCATCGTCTCCCGTGCGCTGGCCGTCGCACTCGATTGCGCAGCTTGAAGCTTGGATAGGGTGATCGGTGAGCACTGAGCACTATCTTGGATTTTGAGTAGGGTGATTGTGATCGAGACGGAGTTGAGCTGAAGATAATGATAATTCGGATAAATCTGGTGGATAAAGTGAATCAGCGATGAAAATAATTTTCAAAACCTTCGCTTGCATATGCTTCGAAATTAGAATTCATCCCAACTGGAGCGTCTATAATATAAGATCCACTCGTGTAGTCGTGATTAGCTTAACGAATTTTATCTATGGCCTCATCGTTTACCCTAAGTTATCAACCACGGCTAAAATTTAAATTTTAAAAGCTAATTTTACAGTTAATTTTGGGTATTTTAAACGTAGTTTATTTTCAGCATTGGTTTTTTAATCATTGAGAGTACATATATAAAAGTTTTGCCTATAAATTATTTTTTATTTGCTAATAAACCATTATAGCTTATAATCAACTTTTGGTCTCCCAAATCCCAATAGAACTGCTAGATTGCAAAAAAATAATATCCCAGAAATTTCCAACGTGAATTACGTTTTACATTGGACATTTGACATCTTGTGAAAAATCTTGTGAAGTGAAATATTCCAAGTGCTAAAACGATTTTTTTTTCATTTTTAAATTTTATTTTTCTAATATTTACAGAAATAGACCCTGCAGCCCTCCCCAAGAGCGGCAGGGTGACGTGTGTGACCAGGCAGACCGCTGAGCGGGTATGCGAATTTTGCGTGTGGCGAAAATTGCAGAGAGCAGCAAAGGACCTCAGCGCAAAATGCACACACGACGCCGTATGCCACATCACTTTGCCGCTCTCCACTTGGGTGGGCGGTGTAATATTTCTGTAAATATTAAAAAGAATTAAAAATGAAAAAAAATCGTGCTAAAACTGGAAAGGCCCATTTCAGTCGTCCAATAAAGCCCAGTCCATGTGCGCACTACGGCCCAAACATCCCTTTCCTTTCACCTTCTCTAAAACCTCTGGGCCAACTGGGCTCAAACCTCCCCGCAGCTTCGATCCGAATCCGCCATGCGGACATTGCAGAGGCGGCTCTCGCAGCTCGTGCTCCGCCGCCTCCTGTCGCCGCCGCCGCCGCCCGCCGCCCGCCGGCCCGCACCGGTGGCGGCGGAGGCCGTCTCCGGCGGAGGAGCGACAGCCCTACTTCGCCGCGGGGGTGGCTCCGGGGTACGGCTCCCGATCCGTGATGGAGAGATTCTCTGGTTTTGGGGGGGTTTTGGGATTCCTTTCGCGTCGAGCTGGAAGCCTCCTCCGTGACTCTCGTGGTTTGCGTGGATCTTTTAGGTGGCGGCGGGCGGCTGGAGTGGCGGCGGCTCGGGGCTTCGGTTGGCTCGGAGGCTCTGCACCTACGACGAGAGAGGTATATACAGCGGTTTCGTTTCGCCAGCCTCTCAAATCTGGGCTGTTTCGCTGGTCATGAGAAGAAATCAAGCAAACATCCATGGAAATACGGAATTCATGTGGTTGTGGTTGTATGATTAATCTAGAGAGGTTATTAAGAAAAATGGTGTCTGTGATTTTTTTGCATTTTCTTAGAAATGGCTTATGCCGTTGCCCCCCGAGGTTTTAAGCTACATTGGTGGAGTATTAGTAGAATTCCCTTATTGGATCTCAAATGCCATGTGATTATTGTTATTTGTTAGTATTGATCTTGATCCTTCTCTACTTACTGTGTGTCCACTCAGAGTGTTGTGGACAACTGCCTTGTCATCTGAATTGTCGCTGGCAGTGTGGATTAACCATCATTTATAGAGTGTGCAGAGAGCATTTAGCTGTCATTTTTCGTATATTACTATGGAACTATGATGTGATACTGTTTTGTTGAAAGCAATTGGCGAACAAGAACTAGAGAACCCTTTTTCCTTTGCTATTATTTCTGTGAATATACTATTTGGCTATTATAAGCTGATTCCTACTTGTCTGACTTGAACTGAAACGATGTACAGATGACAGGGCACTTGAGGAGGAAGCTGAGAAGAAATTTGGATGGATATTGAAGATATTCTTTATAGGAACTGCTGGTCTTGTTGGTTACCAATTCTTTCCTTACATGGGTATGATTACTTTTTCCTGATATGCCAACAAATGGTGGCATGCCCAGATCTCTACCGGGCTTGAACTATCAACCTAGGGCATTATTTAGGCAAACCTGAGAATGTTGTTTTGTCTGACAAGTTTTCAGGGGATAACCTGCTTCAGCAGTCCATCTCACTTTTGCGTGTCAAAGATCCCTTGTTCAAGCGAATGGGAGCTTCCCGATTAGCTCGTTTTGCAGTTGATGGTAACAATTTTATATAAGCATTTTTTTAATTCTCGTGTGATTTGTTCTACATTGTTGGGATCCAGAACACAATGTCATACTAATTATTTTACAGAGCAAGAACTAGACTCATAACATTATAGACCTAAGGTCCAACCAGTCAGACTTGGACCAATTAAACCGTGAACCGAGGGCTTCGCTAGTTCAATGTCTAGTCTAGTCTTAATAATTAGCCACAGCTCACCCTCTGCACCTATCGGGTTCGTCCTACTAGTCCTAGATAAGAACTAGGGAACATATTTGCAAAGTTTTGCTGCAGTGGGCAGTGCCTATAGATTTGGTCATGTTCCCTGGCCATGTCAAGATACATATTCTTCTTGTATTGAACATTCTTCTTGGCAGTTAACTTCAAATCATTTGCATTGAACACTGAACATTACATTTCAATGCTTCTTTGCTTTTTTATTTAGTATATGCTTTACTCATTTCCTACTGGCACAGATGCAAGGAGAATGAAGGTAGTGGAGATGGGGGGAGCTCAAGAACTTCTTAATGTATTGGAAGGTGCTAAAGATGATAAAACACGTAAACAAATCCTAAAAGCTCTTCATGCACTTTCGAAGTCTGGTGAGCAAAGTTAATTGAGTCCTACTTGACTTTTTAATTTCTTTAGTCTTATCATTCAGAATAGTTCTATGTTGCACTGATGTTCGCTGCTAGAAGTGCCAGTTAGTGGCTTAAGTTTTGAGATGTTAATTGGAAATTATGCACAAAAAAGAAGTACTCCCTCTATCCCAAAATACAAGGGATTTTGTGTTTGTCCTAAGTTAAACTTCCCAAGTTTAGCCAATTTCTGTAGAGCAGTACATCTACCACATCAAAGAAGCAAATTAAAATATATTTCATAATGGATCTAATGATGCTCATTTGATATTGTAAATACAATTGTTCTTTTCTATAAATTTGGTCAAAATTAGGATAGTTTTACTTAGGACAAACACATAATCCCTTATATTTTTTGATGGAGGGAGTAGACCCTTACACTAAAAAAAAGGGAGAAATACAATAAATGTCAAGCGGCCAAGAACATTGGAATTTATCAATTTCTGTTTGGTGTGATCTGCTAACTAATAACGTGACATGAAAGCATGCTACTACTGGTACTGTCTTAAGGTCCGGGCTCCTGCACTCTCATGAGTGACTAGGCGAGGGCGTGGTTTATGTTACTAAGTCAACAAACTGCTGCAGTGCTGTGTGTTACCTCAAGCTGGCACACCCCAATACCCCATATGCCCATGCTTCAATTCTTAGTTCTTGCGTTGGTGTTGTTTGTCCTTGGGCTTTTGCTTTCACATACTCAAGATGCTTCGAACATGTTCCTTGCAATGTACAGAGGAAGCAGCAGGGTTTTTGGACAAGGCGGGCGCCTACGTAATAGTCAGTTCCACTCCCAACTCCCTCGAGTATGCTGAGATCGAGACCTACAAGACTAGCCTCCTGAAGGCGTTTGATGAACTGAAGTCGTGACGATAAATGGCTGGGAGTGGTGAATCGATCTACATGTTTGTTTTAAACTGGACGTATCCGAGCATTCTTTGTTGATCAGACCTTCGGTCTTGTTGCTGGAATCATGTCTACATACATTTGTTCTGAACAGGCAGCACCTTTAGAGAGTTGTTATTTTGTCTAAACGAATCTTCTTCCTTTTTTCTAGAGGAAAAACATTGGATTGGCTTTATCTGTATAATGATCGTGTAGGCACTGTATGCTTCCATAATAATTGTTGTTTTGGACAAGGATACTGTTTTCCATATAACAAATTTTACCACTATTTTCTATTACAATACATATAGAAATATCAAATATATGATTTTTATTAAAGTGTCTTTCAAGATTAATCCATAAATGTAATTTCCATTCTTTAAAGTAAATATTTTAAAATCTATTTATTGTCAAAGTTGATCTCGGTCCTTGTCGAAAACAAGTACGATGGAACTGGAGGAGAAAAAAATGGCTTTCTCCAATCAATTGTTGTGACTATTTGGGCACTGTATGACAAACTAGTAGTAAATATGCTTACTCCATTCGAGTCCCTGTTTAGTCTCCCCCCCCCAAAAAAAAAAAAAAAATTGTACACACTATCACATCGAACGTTTGCACACCTGCATGAAGTATTAAATATATGTTAAAAAATAACTAATTACACAGATTATGACTAATTTGCGAAACAAATTTTTTGAGCCTAATTGCTCCATGATTTGATAATGTGGTGCTACAATAAACATTCACTAATGATGGATTAATTAGGCTTAATAAATTCGTCTCACGGTTTACTGACGGATTTTATAATTAGTTTTTTTATTAGTGCCCGAACACCTCATACGATACGGCACCTTATATAATACTCAATGTGACACGCCAATACTTTACGCTCCTACATCTAAACACTCCCTCAGTTGTGTGACCATTCAAACGATTCTGTTGGGCACGGTATATGTGACAGACACTGTTGGGTACTGTATGTGTTGCAAACTACTACTCCATTCAATCATGTGTGACAAACTATCTGTTGGGTACTGTATGTGTGACAAACTAGTCTCCATTCAATTCTTGTAACCAGCGAACTTTCTCCACTCTAATTGGAATTGTATTGCTACCTCATCCTACTCATCGTAATGGTGCCCCTCTCTCTCCTTCTCTTGCTAGCCGCCGCAGGCCCGGGCGTCGCTGGTTTGCGTGATACCACACAAAACGTTCGGAAATTGTACTTGTACTGCTCATCCGCTAATCCGACTGGTGTTTGCTGCCACATGGTGAAGGCTATCTTCCGGGTTAGTATGCAGACAGATATATATGCTAATTGCCTACGCCACATCGAGGACTCGAGCACTAACATGGGTGAAGGCCTAGGGGAGGGCAGCCTAGATGCAAAGGCGCCTTGAGGGCATTAGCAGTGCGGCAACACATATTGCCATACCTCAGATGCCACCTAGGCCCAGGACCACTCAAGAATAATATTAGCCACAAGTTTCACAGTGCTATGTAGTCTTAAGTGGGGTCCACAACAATAAAGGAGATCTTTTTCTTGGCTTTTTCCCCTCTCCCCTCAACAACCGACACTTTTGCCCCTCTCCCTCTCTCCTCAACCCACGCACTCTTCTCCTTCCACTGCGGCATGGTCCATGGAATACACAAAGCAGCGATGACGGGCTCCGCAAGGGCGAGGGCGATGGGCGGCCCAAGCAGCGATGGCGCGGCGGCCAGCGGGAAGCCGCGGCTGACGGGGCTAAAAACCACCACCGAGCTCACCCGATCTGAAGTTTGGCGGCGGCTCCGCGGGGAGGGACGGTAGTAAGTTCCTCGGTACAGCGCGGCGCGGAGCGGGGGCACGGTGGCAACCCCCCCTCGCCCGCTCTTCTTCTCCCACCGGCGGAGCAAATTTAGCGGCGGCCCTCCTTCTCTAAGCGGGTGTCGCTCCCCTCCCTCTCCTCAACGGATCTGCCGGCGGTGAGAGCGACGGTCGGCGAGGGTTTAAGCAGCAGCGGTGGAGCTCGGCAAACGTAGATTAGGCATTGACTATGACCTCCCGGTATGTCGTTCCCAACTCCGGTCGCCGTCTCTCCCGACTCCCGCGTTGGAGGCAACGAACTATCTCGGGACGACAGCCAAGCGAGGATTTCCTCTCCCCTCCCTAACAATCTCCGACGAGGAACGGGTGACCTATTTTGGCTCCTAGTTCTTCATTTGGTCACAGGAGAAGCATATGTGGCATGGAATCTTTGATTTGGCCGACTTGGGCTGAATGCCATATCAGTGCACTATGAATGGCCTGACAGGGAAAAAGGAGGAGGCCGACCTAGGCCTAGTGGGGAAGGCAAGTGGCCCCCGGTTGCCAACCATGCTGGAAAACTGGGGAGGAGGCCCTAGCTGTCGTGACGTCGTATTGATAGTACGTAGATGCCGAGAAATCCTGTTAGTAGCACAAGTGTAAACATTATGCCTCTTGGCAAATAGAAATGAATACTCATCAAACACCGCATGACTTAAGTCTAGTGGATTTCGAGAACAAACTTAAGTCTAACTGCAGTCTGGATCGATATAACGCGTGTTGGGTACTACGCGACTTCACACAACGTCCATGTATTGACTATAATGATACTTTTAGTCCAGTGGTCAAACTGGTAACTATTCTCACTATTATTGGTATCGCAGTTTTTCGTGATTAGCTTGTTCGCCATCTCGATGTCAAAAATGATTTTCTTCATGGCATACTTCAAGAAGCTGTTTATTGCATTCACCTGCTAGGTTTCCTTGACTCTAGTTTCTCGGACATGGTCTGTCGCCTGAACAAGTCTCTCTATGGACTTAAACAGTTAAACAGGCCCGCGTGCTTGGTATAGTCGCTTCGCCAACTTCCTACTCTCGATTGGTTTCATTGAGGCTAAGTCCGACACTTCTCTACTCATCTACAGACAGGGCACTAATTTGGTATATCTGTTGTTGTATGTCGATGACATTGTGCTTACAGCGTCCTCTGCATGCCTGCTTCAGTTAGAATTCTCAATGAAGGATCTTGGCTCGCTTCATCACTTCCTCAGCATTGACATCACTCATCAGTCCTCTAGTCTTTTCTTGAGTCAACTACAGTATAGTCTTAAGATTCTTGAATGAGCTAAGTTGTCTAATTGCAAGCCATGCACTACTCTGGTCGACACTAATGCTAAATTGTCTTCTCTTGATGGTGCTCCTATTGCTCTGATTCGACCGACTTTCGCAGTTTGGATGACACTCTACAATATCTCACATTCAACTAGACCTGATATCTCTTATGCTATGCAACAGGTTTATCTTCATATGCAAAATCCCCGTGAGCCTCATCTTGCTGTGATGAAATGTATTATGCGCTATGTTAGAGGCACTCTAGATTGTGGTCTACATATCAAACACTCTTCTTCGACTAATTTAATTGCTTATTCTAATGTTGATTAGGTTAGTTTCCTTGATACCATGAAATCCACTTTTGGATATATCGTCTTTTTTTTGGCGACAACTTGGTTTCATGATCTTCGAAGCGTCAAAATATTGTCTCTCGTTTTAGTGCTGAGGTTGAGTACAGGGCTGTTGCTGAGACCAATTGGCTTTGTAAGCACTTGCGTGGGCTCTACGTTCCTCCTATCGAGGCTACTCTTGTCTACAGTGATAATGTCAGTGAACCACTCGTCCAATCCATCCAATCCAGTACAACATCACACACACCAAACATGCTGAGTTTAATCTCCACTTTATTCGTGAGTGCTCAGATGTTGGTGCAGTTCGAGTTCTTCATGTGCATATTTTTGCATAGTATGCTAACATCTTCACCAAAGACCTTCCTTCTTCACTCCTCACCAAATTACCAAGTTACGATCCAATCTTCATGTTTGTCCTAATGACGTTGCGACTATAGGCGTGTTAGAATTGGTTTATTATTTCATGTGCCTTTCCTTCTCGGACTCTCTCTCTCGTCCTTCCGATATTGATTGTTTAAGTCGGTTGATTCGGATACGGTTGGTTAGTTCCGTTCCTATATGCACTAGTGTCCTGAGTATTCAATTTATTGTGTTGCGTTATTTTCACTTTCTTAGGCCCAGTTCGATCTCCAGATTTGGAGACAAAATTTTATTGCACATAAACGAGAAACCTCATTAGCACATTATTAATTAAGTATTAACTATTATAAATTTGAAAAATAGATTTATTTGCTTTTTAAAACAACTTCTATATAGAAACTGTTTTAGAAAAAAAAAACCCACCATTTAATCGTTTAAAAAACGTGCTCAAAGAAAATAAGAAAGTTAAAGTTTAGAGTTAATGAATAGAGCAGGGCCTTAATGCCTTATTCTTATCACTCTCGATACGAGTTTTCTAGTCGCAAGTGCCATCCGGCCCAAGTACTCGTGCAGTCTTGTGCCCCTCGACGCTTGCTCGCTCGCTGCTGGCTGCTGCTGGCTGGCTCAGCCGCAACGCAAACTACGCAGCCAGTTGCCTCGCCACCGAACTCGAGCCCAAAACACGGGGGCCCCTTGACGGCTTTGACGCCCACCCCGAAAAGTCCATCGCGATTCGCGACCTCCCCTTGCAACCAGCACTACGCTACTCCTGCTTCCTTCTCCTTCCCCCAACCCCAGCCAGCACGGCGCGGCGCGGCGGAAAAATTAAAGCGGCCACGAGCGAAAAGCCAGGCACGCACGCACGACGGGCACGAACTCACACCCCCTCCTCCCAACCTCGCCGTCTCCTCCCACCACTCGGCCACTACTCCTCCTCCTCGCCCGATCCGCCGCCCAGATCCGCTATGCTGCGGCGCCGCCTAGCCTAGTCGCCGCGGGGGGGAAGCGGAATGGGGCGGCCAAGGCTGCCGGGCGCCGCCGGGATCGACCCCATCGCGGAGGAGCCACCTCATTCCGCAGCCGCCGCGGGGGATGGCGGCGACGCGGCCGGCCTCGCCTGCGCGATCTCCGCCGAGGCCAGCGCCGTGCTGGCCGTCATGCGCCGCAGCCTCCGCCACCCGCGCGCCGCCGCCGACGACGCCGCGGCGGACCACCCGCTCGTCTCCTCCCTCAAGGCGCTGCGCCGCCTCGTCTTCTCCCCCTCCGCCGCCGCCGCGCCCGCGGGCGCGGTGCTGCGGCCCTTCCTCGACGCGGTCCGCTCCGAGGACGCCGGCGCCGCGGTCACCTCGGCGTCGCTGGCCGCGCTCCACGAGGTGATGGCGCTCATGGGCCCGTCCCTCACGGGCGCCGCGCTGCGGGAGGTCGTGGACGCCGTCGCCAGCTGCCGGTTCGAGGCCGGGGCCGAGGCCGCCGCCGAGGAGGCCGTGCTGATGCGGATGCTGCAGGCGCTGCTCGCCTGCCTGCGCGCACCCGCCGCCCCCGCCCTCGGGGACCAGCACGTCTGCACTGCCGTCAACACGTGCTTCCGTGTCGTCCACCAGGCCGGCGCCAAGGGCGAGCTCCTGCAGCGATTCTCGTGGCACGCGATGCACGAGCTCATCCGATGTGTCTTCGCCCGCCTCCCGCAGATTGGGAGTGGTGATGGGCCTGACGGTTCCGTCAAACCAGAGGTAATGAGCAAATTTTGCTTTGCTATTAATAGCTAGTACTAATCATGTGAATGCGATCATTCATTAGTTTTACAAACATTACAAACAGCAATAAACTCCACACGTTATTTGAGTTTGTGTTGTACCCATGAATTTCATAGGGGCTACACACAAGGATTTAATGCCAACTAGTATGACTTAATGGATGAATTCCATGTGGCTGGTTCAGCAATGTGCTGAACTGAATATTTGAGTTTGCATCTAACACTGCAATGCTATTTTGATGTCTAGAAACTGATACATGCGCTAAGAATTACTTCCTCTGTCCCTAAATATAAGGGATTTTGGTTGGACGTGGCATATTTAGTACAGCGAATCCGAACAGGCTTCTGTCCAGATTCGTTATACTAGGATATGTCACATCCAACCAAAATCCCTTATATTTAGGGACGGAGGGAGTATGTGATTAAATGAACCTCACTTCACTATGCTGTGCTGGCCTGCTCAAATGAATATTGGTATGACACGTTTGGTAGGTTTTAGAAATAGTGGAAGTTTTTTTTTTCCTTTTTCCCTTTCCCCTGCATTTTGTAAAATAGAATGCGCAAACATGCTGAATCCGATAACACTATCTGGCTACCTGCATGTGTGACTGCTTTATTATTTTCTTTTCGAACTCGGAAAACAACCATGTTTTGTTTTCACTGCACCAATATCTTCTGTTCAATCCATCCTCAAAATTCTCCTTTAAAGTAGGCCGTATTCAGTTGGTTTTATAATCATTTATTCAAAAAGTGGGTCTATCGATGTTTCCCTGTTCCTTCCAAACCCAGTTTCCAGTTTGTTCTCCCTCAGGAACCAGTTTTAAAACTGGATTGTTGAGGCTGGTGATGTTTTGAAATCAGGACCATGTACTTGATGGTTACTTTGATAAATGTCAGTGACTTCTTTTCCAATATTCAGTTTCAATACCTCGAAACTGTCGTGCAAGTGTGGTATGTTTTTATGCGATGCACTATGTTGTTGCTGAGGTCTGCAATGTGCATGTTTATCCCAAGATTTTAGTCACTATTCTGCTATGCCTGTTTCTAACCAACTGATATGCTTCTCAACTCTTCATTTGCAAATTTGACAGAGAATTTGTAGTTTGTAAGCTCAAAACAGTAGTTCCTCACTTGGGAACCACTTACTCAGAAACAGTAACAATAAATAATGTTTGAACAGTCCAAGTTCCCAACAAATTACCATATTTTTTATTGCGTTTAGCATGGAACTGATTGGAATCAGGAGATCTTGAAACGAATTGGAGGTCATAGGGATAAACCTAGCTCCACGAAGAGAATTAGAGATATCCACTACCTCACTGGAAGTATAAAATAGTAGTTTTTCTCATCTCACCATAGATTTCCTACCCTTATCTGAAGGGACACACTTGATGTGCACAAACAGAACTTGTGCATGATGAAATGTTAAAGTTTCTGACAAATACCAAATTATGTTGTTTCAACTTTATTTAAGTTTGACACAAGACCTGGTATCCATTATTTTATTCCATAATCTGGTTGGGATAATTGCTTTCTGCTGTTTTCTTTTTACTTTTTTTTAATCCCTAGTCCCAATGGTGTTTTAATTTATGAATGCAGACATGGTGATCTAACACCATAATCATAAGGGCCTTGTTATCACCAGCACTTCTACAACCTCAATGACACAGCCATGCTCAGCCTAAATGGTTTTGCTTGGACACTTCTGGTTACCTTGCATCTTTTAGCTCACCCGCTGTATCTTGCATGCTGTGTTGCCAAGTCTTTTTGTTGAGCAAAACAAAGTCGTAAAGGTGGCCTTTTTTAGTGCCTGTCAACTGTTTTAGTGAAAGGCCGTCTAGAAGGTTGTCAACATTAAAGATATGTAGTGATTAAGAGTACACAGAAAAACCTTCAGCCCAATCATGTGTTTGGATTTATGGTAAGGTGAAAAATTTGGCTACTTTTGTACTACTATTAATGAATCCATCTCAAGTTATGTCCAGGTAAAATAAAATTTTAGTGCTGAAAGGGTCCATAAAAGTCTTACAAAACACATTTGTATTAATTTCCCTATCATGTTTACAACATGGCGCAGGTTTACCTAGTGCTTTTTGTATGCTACTTGTGCAGATGGGTGGCATGGATAAAAACCATCCTTTTGGGATTGGACAAATGGAAAATGGCAATGGGAGCTATGCATCTGAGGCAGTTACATCTGATGAGAATTCTGCAGATGGCAGTGGCATTGTTGTGGAGCCTTACGGGATCCCATGCATGGTGGAGATTTTTCATTTCCTCTGCTCCCTCCTCAATGTTGTCGAGCAAATTGGAGTTGATGAAGATCTGCCATTGTTTGCTCTGAAGTTGATCAATTCAGCAATTGAGCTTGGTGGATCTTCAATTCGTAAGCACCCAAAATTGCTGTCATTAGTTCAAGATGAGCTTTTCCGAAACCTAATGCAGTTTGGGTTGTCCATGAGCCCACTTATCCTTTCAATGGTGTGCAGCATTGTGCTAAATCTTTATCATCATCTCCGGACTGAGCTCAAATTGCAGCTTGAGGCATTCTTTTCTTGTATAATCCTAAGGCTTGCACAACCCCGATTCGGAGCAACATATCATCAGCAGGAGGTTGCAATGGAAGCTCTTGTTGATTTTTGTCGACAAAAGAATTTCATGGTGGAGATGTATGCCAATCTGGACTGTGACATAACCTGCAGGAATATTTTTGAGGAACTTGCAAATCTTCTGTCAAAGAGTGCATTTCCTATTAACTGCCCATTGTCTTCCATGCACATTCTTGCTCTGGAAGGTCTGATCTCTGTGATCCAAGGGATGGCTGATCGGATTGGGAATGCTACTTCACGCCCTGAGCTCCTGCCTGTGGAGCTTGATGAATACACTCCCTTCTGGACTGTTAAGTGTGAGAATTTTTCAGATCCTCAGCATTGGGTGAAGTTTGTCCGTCAAAGAAAGTATGTCAAAAGAAGACTAATGATTGGTGCTGATCACTTCAACAGAGACCCAAAGAAGGGTCTGGAATTTCTTCAAGGCACTCATTTGTTGCCTGAGAAGCTTGATCCCCAAAGTGTGGCTTGTTTTTTCCGCTATACAGCTGGTTTGGACAAGAATCTTGTAGGAGACTTTCTAGGCAATCATGATGAGTTTTGTGTTCAGGTGCTTCATGAGTTTGCTCAAACCTTTGACTTCCAGGAGATGAACCTTGATACAGCTCTGAGACTATTTTTGGAGACATTTCGTCTGCCTGGAGAATCTCAGAAGATACAGAGGGTTCTTGAGGCTTTCTCAGACAGATACTATGAGCAGTCCCCACAGGCTTTCGCAAACAAGGACACTGCTTTAGTGCTTGCTTACTCAATTATAATGCTGAACACTGATCAGCATAACATGCAAGTAAAGAAGAAAATGACTGAGGAGGACTTCATCAAGAACAACAGGAACATAAATGGGGGTAGTGACCTTCCGCGTGAGATGCTGTCTGAACTATACCACTCCATATGCCGAAATGAGATTAAGACCACACCAGAGCAGGGTATGGGATATTTTGAAATGTCTCCCAGCCGCTGGATAGATTTAATGCGGAAGTCGAAGTCAACATCTCTGTATATAGTTGGTGATTCTCAGCCCTTTCTGGATCATGATATGTTTGCTATCATGTCTGGTCCTACTATTGCTGCCATTGCAGTGGTGTTTGATCATTCGGAACATGAAGAAGTTCTGTTGGCCTGTGTGGATGGCTTCTTGGGTGTCGCAAAAATCTCAGCATTTCATCATCTTGAAGATGTTTTGGATGATCTTGTCGTTTCTCTCTGCAAATTCACCACTCTTTTAAACACCTCTTTGGTTGAGGAACCAGTTACTGCCTTTGGGGATGACCTGAAGGCTAGATTGGCAACTGAGACATTGTTTACCATAGCTAATAGATATGGGGACTACATACGTACTGGCTGGAGGAATGTTTTGGATTGCATATTGAGGCTGCATAAGTTAGGCCTTCTTCCTGCCCGTGTTGCTAGTGATGCAGCTGATGATTCAGAAGTTTCTGCTGAAACTGTCCAAGGAAAGCCTACTCATAGCTCAATTTCCACATCTCATATTCCAGTTATGGGTACGCCTCGGAAATCCTCTGGACTTATGGGGAGATTTAGTCAGCTGCTGTCACTTGACAGCGAAGAACCAAGGTCACAGCCCACTGAGCAGCAACTTGCTGCCCATCAGAGAACTCTACAGACGATTCAGAAATGCCGAATAGATAGTATATTTACAGAGAGCAAATTCTTGCAACCTGATTCACTATTACAACTTGCTAGGGCACTGATTTGGGCTGCAGGACGACCTCAAAAGGTTGCCAGCTCACCAGATGATGAGGACACAGCTGTATTCTGTCTGGAACTGCTAATCGCAATTACGCTTAACAACCGAGACCGAATTGTGCTTCTCTGGCAAGGAGTTTATGAGCATATTGCCAACATAGTTCAGTCAACAGTTATGCCATGTGCTCTTGTGGAGAAAGCTATTTTTGGACTTCTGCGCATATGCCAGAGGTTATTACCATATAAAGAGAACCTTGCGGATGAGCTGCTGAGGTCATTGCAATTAGTTCTCAAGCTGGATGCGCGTGTAGCAGATGCATACTGTGAAAACATCACTCAGGAGGTTGCACGCCTTGTCAAAGCAAATGCTGGACACGTAAAATCACAAATGGGCTGGAGAACTGTAGTGTTACTGCTCTCCATTACAGCTCGACACCCTGATGCTTCAGAAGTAGGCTTTGAGGCTATCATGTATATCATGTCCGAGGGTGCTCACCTTTCACTATCAAATTATGCTTTCTGTATCGAAGCGTCACGGCAGTTTGCTGAATCCAGGGTTGGTCTAATTGACAGATCCATTCGTGCCCTGGATCTGATGGCTGATTCAGCCAATAGTCTTGCCCGATGGTCACAAGAGACAAAAGGGACAGGCGAGGAAACTGACAAAGTGTTGGAAGCAATCAGGGAGATGTGGCTCAAATTGCTGCAAGCACTGAAAAAGTTGAGTTTGGATCAGAGAGAGGAGGTGAGAAATCACGCGCTAACTTCGCTTCAGCGATGCCTAACAGCAACAGAAGGGGTGTGCCTTCAGAGCTCCACATGGTCACATGCTTTCGATCTCGTCATATTCGCGCTGCTGGATGACTTACTAGAGATCAGCCAGAATCACTCGCAGAAGGACTACAGGAACATGGAAGGATCCCTTGTGCTCGCCATGAAACTAGTCGCGAAGGTCTATCTGCAACTACTGCCAGATCTTTTTGGGCTAAGCAGCTTCTGCAAGTTGTGGCTAGGAGTCCTCAGCCGGATGGAGAAGTACATCAAGATCAAGGTCCGTGGCAAGCGCAGCGACAAGCTGCAAGAGCTGATCCCTGAGCTGCTCAAGAACATTCTAATTGCGATGAAGAACAGGGGGATCCTCGCAAAGAGGAGCACCATTGGGGGCGACAGCTTGTGGGAGTTGACATGGCTTCATGCGAATAACATCTCGACGAGTTTGCAGTCTGATGTTTTCCCAAGCCAGGAGTATGAGCAGCACAGCAGTGCCGGTAGCCCGAGAGGACCCAACGGCGTTGAGTCCCGGGACTAGAAAGTTCAGAAGTTCAGGTGGTGATGGCTGGTTGATGGTTCGGCGTGCCGTGGAGTGTGCAAGTTTAGTTATTATGTTACTAGGTTTACCAATTGCTTGCTTTCTTATCCACTGAAACGTAAGGTTTTGATATTGTAATTGCAATGCGTGCCCCCATTGTAAGTTGATCTTGTAAGTTTTGTAGTAGTATTCTGGCGAGCTCGCGGACCAGTTTTTACAGTCCTTGTTTGGAGTTGCTGATGTTCCGTGTAAAGGGAAACCGTGACAGCAATGTGACCAAGTTGACAAGATCTCACATTCACACTGCTAATCTGCCGTTTTAACAGTTACTACTACTTTAATGCATTGAAGTCAGAATGTAACAAAAGAGAGCTTGAACCGAACAATTTACACACACAAGCCACCGCTATCTTTTATTTGAGTCGTATAGTTTTAATACAATGAACATACAACCAGGCACCGGTGCGAACTCCTGCCACAGCAATTCTCGAAAGGATTCAAATCCCAGTCGGTTATCCTCAATAATCACAACAATCCCAGAATGTATTTGGCTCCAGGCCTTCAGGGGTGGGTTGCGCCTCCCTGGATATGATCGCTCACTGGTGGGGGGTTGACCACAGGGATATCCAAGCTGCCGCCTTCTGATTCTGGGGAGACCTCCCGCACATCGGCGATCAATGCTTCCGACTGCTGGAAACTACCCCACTCCGCATCACCGATAGGACGGATGTCGACCCCATCCACGGCCAGTTGGACTTCAGTGTTATCATTGGAAACTAGGACAGATCTTGAGTCACTCACACAAGCTTTGTCGACATCGTCATCTGATGCATCGACGTGCTTTGTCAAGGGAGGGGAGTTATCGGTGCCGGAGCATGATTCAGATCTCTCTTCGCATACCTGCTTCGTGCTGCTTTGCTCTCTGCATCAGTAGGTTCGTGTTTAGGTCAATGACAATGTTGTAATGCATAACTCGTGAGATGCTTCCATCTCTTATATAAATTTCTCTTTTAACTCAGTAAATGCAGAACACATAAAACAAGACAAACCTCTGGACTTGTGATTGAAGAATACCAACAAGGGATAGAAGCTCCTCTTTTTCTTTCTCAACAGCATGTAACTTTTCAGCAGCTTCCTTTATCCGAGCTGCAGCATCTGCTTCAGATGCCCTTACCTTCTCATCTGCTCTGGCAATAGTTGCTTCTTGTATTACTGCTTGCTCTCTAGCTTTCCCTAGCTCAGTGCGCCACATATGAGCCTCCTGAAGTGCAGCATCTCTTTCCTTCAGCAATTGGTCCTTCTCTTTACTCAAGCTAATTACCTTTTCTTCAGATTGTCTTAGCTGTAATATCCATAGACCATTTGGAGCATGAGAATTCAGAGCATTCGAAATTCAGATATTAAATATAACTATTTACCTTGAGCATGGATTGTTCCATTTGTCTTTCCATTGCTTGTCTTAGGCGCTCGATCTCCGAACATAGAAGTCTTCTCTGTTCATCCATCGTATGGGCTGCAGAAGCAGCAGCTTCCGCAGCCTCTGCAGTCTCTGTTAATTTATTTGCTATTTCCTTAATTGTAGCATCCCGAGCACGAATATCCTTGGCCAAATTCTGCAACTCCTCATCTTTCACCCGAAGAGTCTCCTGAGGAATATGAAAAGTAGAAAATTGACAAAATAATGCTCATGAATAAAATCAAAGATACCCAACCATGTGCCTAGCAGCACATGCATGAAAATTGAAACCTAATAAGCAAAGATGTAACCATCTAAAATGTTTAGAAATGGAAAACATTGTTGAACAAATCATACCAAACAGTGTAAATTTATGTCATACAATATTACAACAATTTTCAGACTCCCAATAAAAGCCAAATCTCATCTACTTATAATTAACCAGGTATGTTCTGTGGCATAAATTTGCACCAAGTTTATACATAATATATTAATCTGGCAATCTAGCCTGAGGCAACCAACCTAATATTACACTAGCACAGGTTGACAGCAACGATGTAAAGCATGTAGGAATATTGTCTGCAGTTCGTAATGCCCTGTATGAAATCAGTACCAAGTGCGAATACTAGAGTGTGGTCTGCTTCATAGGTAGAGATGGGACACCATACGATTTAAAACTAATAAAATAGAAATGTTATCACAGAAAATATTTGAAAGCAGCAAAGTAAAGATTATCTAGAAGAGCAAGACCACTTGCAATATGAAACAAGATTTTAGATGAGAGAATCTATCTTCGCTGAGAAAAGAATGCATACCTTCATGATGGTTAAATCATCAAGTTGACCTTCCTTTGGATTGTTTGCACCCAACCCAAGAGCTGCCCTCATTGAAACTTTCATTGCTGCTTCTATCTCCTTGGTAGCCTCCAAAGCAGTAGCGTTGGCATTAGCAACTGCTGTAGCAACTGTACCTAACGTGGCAGGAGAGCCGTTCCCAGCCAAAGAATTCACTGCTTCTTTATGCGCTTGTAGTACTAATTGTGTTGCACTGTTTAAAATAGATAATATCAGCCCAAGATAGAGTGGTAGCAATTCTCCTGCCTACACCTTTTTCAGAGAGAGAGAAAATACATCGCATTCATTTGCCCGTTCATATTGGAGTATGTGTGTTTGCAGTAATGTTTAGGAATTAGCATTTGTAAATGACTGGCAGTGGGCAGCAATCTGGGAGTATGACAATATTTGACAAGTCATGGATCAGAAAGCTTACAGCAACGTAGATACCCAAGCCTTTGCAGCACCAGGAGTTTCAGCACAAAGAAAGTAATCCTTTTTTTGAGGAGTTCCAATGTCTATCTGAAGTCAAGGAACACTAAAAACTAAAAGCATATACACTCCTTAAAAAAACATTGAGCAAGTGTAAAGGATACAGAAACAGCAGCCATCATACTTTGGCATCCCTCTGTAAGAATTTGAGCAGTAGTTAGTTCAAACTTCGAAATACCATACCAAGAAAAGTTTATATACAGTAGATAATCTTACTGGAAATTTACAGGGGACAAGGTAATAGTGCTTGAAGCATCAAATATAATGGTTCCTTTAATGGCAGTTTCATTTCTCCGAATTCTGCAACAAGGGAAAAAAATGAGTACAGAGAAAATAGCAGGAATTTAATTGGTATTTAGTCACAAAACTTTCAAAGTTCTCCATACTTGTATTCCATCTTTCCTGAAGTAGGGTCTAAAATTACCCATCTCTCATTCCATTTCCTCAACTGTACGACGGAAAAAAATCGAAGAGGTTAGATTGCTGCCGTGATTTTCACATTTCAGAACAAACTATGTTTGCTAGTTTCCACTGATTGCATTTGTTTGAACAGAATTGGTCCTAGTCGATTCACTAGATTGTATTTTCCTGGTCAGTAGCAAATTCGTGTGCACCAATGTATCAACGGCAGGCGCCCTATGACTTATGTTTATCTCAAAATAAAGTTCATTCTACCCTTGGAATAAGATTCACCTGGCTTCCCCTTTCTCTCTAGTCTATCACACTAGACTCAAATACCACAACATGGTTACTTGGACGATGCCACCGACAAAGGTCAATGCGATGCTCCTAGCTCTTACTCACCAAATCTCACATACTCCCTATCACTTCAACAAAAATCATTCCAAGAAATCGAACAGAATAGCTACACACATAATCGAACCATAATTTCTCCTACCACCAACCAACCACACATCAAAATCCCTAATACTCGCACACAAGAATTCTCAAGGGCAGACTCAAATCGAACCATTCAACACCAGAAAAACCTCATAGATCAAACCTATCACCAAAAACCTCGCCTAATAAACACCCCCCATACAATCCCATCACACCCGCTCACGAAATACGACCGGCGAGACCATACCGTCTCAGATCGCTTCAGCAGTGGCCCCTGCAGCAGGTACCGCCCGGACCCCGACGAGAGCTGCCGCTTCACCTTCTCCAGGCTGCTCTCAGTCTCCCTCGCCCTCTGCAACCCAAAAAAGAAAAAAAAACTCTCATAAGAATCGCCGGAAATCGGGGGAAAAAGTCCCAGAAACATCCCGGGTCGTCGTCGTACCGGGGAGCTGCCGTTGGTGGCCATGGCGAGGAGAGGGGGCGAGCTGCGGAGGGGAGGCTGCAGGGCTAGGGTTTTGGGTGGCGGAGACGACGGCGGCGACGGCGAGACGGGGCCGGCCGGTGGGGGGTGGCGTCGACCGTCGAGTCGAGTCCAGATCGGTGGATTTTTTCTTCTTCTTTTTTTTTTTGCTCGCTGGCGGAGAAAATGCTTGCGCTACGCTGCCCGAGGATACCCGCGAGCTGTTGGTGTTAGAGTGGGCCCGCCTCGGCTGCCACGGCTGTCAGTGACTGGTGGCCTGCTTGGTTTGTGGGGGGCACCGGTTGGGATACTGCAGGGACTTCGCTTATCTAAATCGCTTTATTTATTAATAAATAATAAAAAGATATTTATGTGTTTATCTAAATCGTTTATTAATAAATAATAAAAAATATTTATGAGAGTAACGAAATTATTTATGTGTGTTCATAGTGAATAAAGTTGTAAAATAACCTATAATAAAAACAATTAAATTTAAAAATTGAATTTGTTTAAATTTTGATTTATACAAGTATAAGCATAGGCAAAATAATAAGGTCTCAAGTTGTTTTATTTTGTAGAGAAAATCCAAAAAATATCATTAACAAACACCCAATCTAAAAAAGCTATCGACGAGTACAAGTTCCACAAAATACCATCATACAAGCGATTTTGTTCTAGAATTGCCATCGTCGTTAGGGTTCCGTCCATCCCGCGTCGTTAAATATACTGTTCATCATATAACACTGAAAGCTACTAAAGGAATCCTAACGATAATGGCATTTCTAGGACATATTCGCTTGTACAATGGTATTTTATGGAACTCGTACTTATCGATAGTATTTTTTGGAATTTGATGTTTGTCAATGGTATATTTTGGATTTTATCTATTTTGTATGGTAAAATTTTGGCACAAGGATTAAGGTTTATAGTGTATTATAGCCGCTATTATCGGTTAGAATTATCATGGTAGCTTCGTAATGTTTTTTGTCAACAGTTCAGGATTGACATATAATGTATTATACTACTTTCTGACTCGTAAAAAATATTAGAAACATCAAGAGCCTGCTACTTTATGCACATACGGTTCGTGCTTCGGTGCTTGATTATAAATTAATTGATGTCAACAAATATATCTTGTCATAACTACCACATGGTTCCTAAATATGCTTTTATATATTCCTTACTTTCTTATCACTTCATAGGTGATTATGATCACTATCACCTGACTATGATCGAAGTTGGTCACCGGCATTGGCAAAAACTTGTTGAAAAAGTTATTAAAAGAGAAATTTCACCCGAGATATATTGTGGTTCATGGTCGAGCTGTCAGATATCACTTTGCATAGAAGCAAGAAAGGATAAGAATCGGCTGGTTTGAGCACAAATAAAGAGTAAAGTGTACGGACACGTCACGTCACGTCCATGTGGCATTGCCACATCAATGCCACGTAGGATCCTAGAGGGGATGGGTCAATTTGGGACCTAAATGATACACTTTGACAAATTATAAGACCTGAATATGTATTTTGAGAGTTTAAGGACCTATATGACACAACCATACAAGTTTAAGGACCGCCAATACACTTTACTCACAAATAAATTAAGGCTCTATTTAGCTGAGCAGCTGCAGCTTCTCTTAAGAATCTTTAGCTTCTTCAAATAGTTCAAATTTGCATCTAAATTCTAAGAATCTATAGCTAATTAATAAACTCAAGAAAATAAACTAGAAGCCAAAAAAATAAAAAAAAGCAGTTTTTCTATATTCTTAGAAGCTAACTATCAACCCAGTACTTCTAATAAACTATTTATATTCCTTTGAATTAAATTTCATCCGTAAATATTACTCTATTTGTACTCTTTCGTTTCATACTATAAGACACATTGACTTTTATAGAAAAATATAATAATATTTTTTAAAAAAATATTATCAAAATATATTCAATGAAATAATTTGATGTTATATATGTTATTAAATTTCTCGATAAACTTTATAAACTTAATCAAAGAGTCTTATAATATGAAACGAAGGGATTATATTAACACACTAATCATCTTTAATGTTCTCTGATTCAATTTTCTTCTCTTTTTGGTATTTAATTTTTTTTGTCAAAATACTTGTTCTCATAATGCAAAGAATTTTAGAGATGTTTTTCATCTCGTTACTTTTCATCAATACATTCATATTAGTACTAGTACTCCTTACAAGAAATTTTAGTGCTTGTTTCTGAAAGATGATTAGGATGTAATTCATGAGGGTAGCAATTTAATTTATCATACCTTCTAATTTAGTGTAAGATTAACTAGGACAATAAATAAATTGAAATCAATTTTGCTATATATCTGTGACAAATTTTCTCCTAATAATTTGACAGATGTAATTATATTACAATCGTAGTGTAATTATACTATATTTTGCATGTAATTACACTATAACTTGTATGTGACTATAGTGTAACTTATATGTATAACTTTCACATAATTTTGAAACATTAAATTTGTTTCAAGATTTGTGCAAGTGAGGAAGGAAAAAAATCACAGAATGCACACATATGAAATGATTCGTTCTCATGACCTCGATCCATTTCACCGAAATAGCATGTTACGGAGAGATTTTTTTTGAAAGTTACATACAAGTTACATGTAAGTTGCAGTATAATTACATCACAATTGTACTATAATTAAATTTGTCAAATTTTTAAAAGAAAATTTGTCGACAAATTTATAGGTGATCCTACATATCCCTTGCGCTGACCTCTTTTTTAGCTTGCAGACGATTGAGGCTCTAAACTTGCTGATAGCAAACCGAACGAACATGCTAATATGTATGGGCATTTGCAATGATCCATTTTATTTAATTTATTATTTTTAGAAGTCAATGCTCCATGTATATATAGCTATATAGCTGCTTATTAAACCGATCGAGCATTACGATATACTTCCTCCGTTTCATATGATGTAAGTCATTCTAGCATTTGCCACATTCATATTGATATTAATGAATCCAGACATATATATCTATATAGATTCATTAACATCTATATCTAGATTCATTAACATCATTATGAATGTGGAAAATACTCGAATGACTTATATTGTGAAACGGAGGGAGTAGCTATCATCCTAACTTGAAGAACATGTACAATAATAATTTTGACCCTTTTAATCAGGGTGACGCCATCTATCATTTTCACCAGATACATGCACACATATCTTTGGTATTTTTTTACAATTTATGTTACAAGATAGTCCCTCCAAATTAGAAATATACCCAAAGGTCAGCACCAACCGCATATTGCGCCACCACTGACACCTAGTAACTCCCTCTGCTTCTATATTAATTGACGTTTTAGACAAGGTTGAGGTTAAACTTTTATAACTTTGACCACCAATAACTTTAAAAATATTAAGTTTAAAGAAACTAGAAAAAATATATAGATTTGTCTTTCAAAACACTATAATAAAAGTAAACATGCATTTATTTATTGTATATATTATAATAGAAAAATAAGGTCAAAGGTATATCTTATAGAGCGTGTCATTGTCCAAAGCGTCAATTAAAATGAAGCCGGAGGGAGTATCAAGTTTATTAATACGGAACAGCTTCACCGCTGATGGCCCTAACATAGACACTGCATACGTACCTCTAAATTATCTTGACATTGACATTTGGACACGTTACTAGCTTTAGGTGTACTAAGTGTCGATGCTAGGGTAGTTGGTGCCGACACATTAATGGTTAGCACCGATAGCTTTGGTGTCGATCTGATAACCTATTCTCTTGAATGTACGTTTTACCATGCTCTATTAGTAAAATAAGTTTTGTGTTAATTTAAATGACCAAGATAAAGAGATTACAGCATATCTTTTCATAATTCCACGTATATATTCACATCATCACATGCACCTAAAGGTCCTTGGAGCTGGTGGCTAGCTAGCTGCAAAACCCTCTACGCCGGTCAGCCCCTTCCTTCCTTTGTCCAGCCTTTTTCTCTGCCACCACCCGCCATGTGATGCCTGTGAGGCCTGCGGTACATTTGCTCCCCCCAAGATTCATGTTAATTTAGCCATCCACGCATCCTCACACATTGCCAAAGATGGCACTTATTATGTGCTAACATGGTGGCCTTGCTCATGCATCATACTGGCCCCCTCACTGACTCACCAAATGATTGTTGCTTTGTATGGATACTTAGTTTAATTACTAAATTAAGGTGAACAAGTCATACAAAGCTAAGGGCCATTGTTAACTAACTATAGCCTGCTATTTTTTTTTTGTTGAGACAATTTAAGTTAAACATTCAAATATGCAACCCTTGAGTCCTTGACCATGAAGTTGATCACCCCTGTTTTCTTGACCTTAAACTCCTCACGTATGCACGGGAAGCTAATAGGGAACAAGATAGTCAAACCCTAATACACCCCCACCACATCAAGTCAAAAAAGCCAACAAAAGGGGGAGTGATGAGAAAGGCAATGCATAAGAACCAAACAGCTAGATGCTCCTTTTCTTCTCAGTTCTCACATGTCCACTCATTTAGTACATTCTTGCTAACATTTACTATATACCCTGTGATTAATTAATTATGCATGCAAGAAGTTGTTATTACTAGCAATGGTACACTGCTGTCTTCCCTTACTAGCATTAACTATATACCCTGGGATTAATTGATTGTGCATGCATGAAGTAGTTATTACTAGTACTAGCAATAGGACATTGCTTTATTCTATCCATACAATCATGCAGTCTATTTAAGCCTTGTTTTTTTTTCCTTTCTACTAGTAATCCACAAACATTTAATAATAACAAATATACACAATATAGATTATTTGTGTTATACATCCCTCCATAAAAAAATTAAGATTAGTTTTCATTTACAAGCACAGAGGAAAAACAAATCAAACTGCGTATGCCAAGTGCGCGGTCATATTTACAATCGGATTTATATGATTTAGTTTTTCCAGGTGTAAAATTTGATCTTGCGTATTTAAGGAGGGATATCTAACCTAATGAGCTATATTTACAGAATTTTTTTAAAACCATTTAGACTGTAATACAAGAAAAAAAAGATAGAACATGCTAGATGGTGGAGATGTACCCTAGAGTAGCTTGAAGTACATTACATTTTCCCACTATGGCTCTGTTTAGATTCCAACTTTTTTTCTTCGAACCTTCAACTTTTCCGTTACATCGGAATTTACTACACACAAACTTTCAACTTTTCTGATGCATGTGTAAGTGTGAGATCTCACCATGCTATTGATCACCATTCCCAAATATCTAAGCTAGCTAGCTAGTTAGTGTGCCTCCTGAATCCTGGGCTTTCACTAGCTAGTGCTCACTACCACACAGCCACACACAACAAAGCAGAAAAAGTAGCTCGCTAGCCATGGACGCCGATGTGCTTCTGGGCCAAGAAGAGGATGAGGAAACCATGAACGCCGCCATGGCGGCCTCCACCGCCGGCAGCGCGATGGCGGCGGCGGCGAGGGAGTACCGGAGGGGGAACTGGACGCTGCCGGAGACGATGCTCCTGGTGGAGGCCAAGAAGAGGGTGAGCGACGGCAGGCGGCCGGCGGCGGACCAGGGGCTGGCGCGGTGGCGGTGGGTGGAGGACTACTGCTGGCGCCGCGGCTGCCGGCGCAGCCAGAACCAGTGCAACGACCGGTGGGACAACCTCATGCGGGACTACAAGAAGGTGCGCGCGCACGAGCTCGCCGCCGCCGGCGGCGGCGGTGGCGGCGGGCCGGCGGAGAGCTACTGGGTGATGGGCAGGACGGAGCGGAAGGAGAAGGGCCTCCCGGCCAACCTCCTGCGCGAGATATACGACGCCATGGGCGAGGTCGTGGAGAGGCGGCCGATGAGCTCCGGCGGCGGCGGCGGAGGCGCCGTGTTCTTGGCCGGCGCTTCGTCGTCCGGCTCCGGCGGCCTCGCCGACGTCCCGGCCATGGCCATGCAGGCCTCTCCTCTCGCTCAACTCCTGCCCCGACCTCTCGGTACTCTCTCTCTCTCTCTCTCTCTCTCTCTCTCTCAAGTGCCATTTATCTTGTGCTGATGGACATTTTTGTACGGTTGCTTGGTTAACCAGAGGCGACGGCGAACTGCAGCTCGGGGTCGCCGGAGAGGAAGAGGAGGCGGCCGTCGCTGGACAACGAGCCACCGGGGGGCAGCACGCCACCAGCGACGACAGGAAGGCAGGGTCACCAAGAACACGACGACGACGACGACGAGTACGCTCATCATGGCGCCGACGAGAGCTCCGACGACGACGGCGGCCTGGGCGGCGCGATCGGGCGGTGCGCCGCGATCCTGTCGGTGGCGCTGGAGAACCGCGAGGCCTCGGAGGAGCGGCGGCACAGGGAGGTGGTGGCCGCGGAGGAGCGGCGCGGGCGGGCGCGGCAGGCGCGGCGCGAGGCCGGCGAGCAGTGCATGGCCGGGCTCGCCACCGCCGTGAGCCAGCTCGCCGGCTCCATGCTCGCGCTCGCCGCCAAGCGCCGGGGCCCCGCCGCTCCCAAGTGAGCTCGACGATCACGCATGCATGCACACGCATCAGGTCACGCCGCCATGCCATGCGCTCGCGGCGAAGAGTTGGCGATGCATGTGAGTGGCTAGCATGCTTAGCAGCTGTGTTCTCATGGAATCTGGCAGGTCGTCTAGGGTAGCATATGCAGCTAGCTATGGCACGTACTCCTACCGTACGTCCTACAGACTACGCGGGTATATATATATCCGTATCATTCTCGATCGGCAGGTGAATTGTTAATTTTGTTCATGTGTTGCATATATACTTGCATGGTTGATGTGTGTTAGCTAATCGATGGTGTTAGATCAAGCGCCATATTTAACCTAGGGACAACCTTAGAAAACTACCGGGTGAAGTTTTCAGTCATGAAAATGCCACAAATTTCAATGGATTTTTTAATTGGCTAGAATTGCATTGAAATTCGTGAAGACTCTTCCTCTTCACCTTATCTTTTCTCTTTGCCTTTTATTGAATTGAGGTCACTACCGCCTCCTTACCATCTGGGCTCACTAGTGAGCCCTGCCCGATTGGCCTCCCTCCTTTCCAATCACCTTGCTCCTACTCCCTAATTTATAGGGGGCGCAATGTCGTCGCCTTTGCTTGTATTCCTTGTTTCCAACGGCTCATGCTGCCAAGACATACCTGTTGCCCCAACCGCTCCAGATCTGATTCTCCTACTAGCCTACCACTGACCCTGTCCATCCTCCTCCTTCATCACCGCGACTTCAGTTGCACCACCTTTGTTCTCATCGCCTGCCATTATCCATCGCTCATTGTCGGTTTGCTACCTCCCTAACCATCCCTCTAAGTCCGAAAAAAACCATCCTCTTCCACCTCCCCCAACTCCGATCATGAAATTCTAACTTAACTTAATCCACGCGTCCTCTACTGGAGTCGGGTGTCGTCAGTGATAGGGAAGATGAAGGGATTAGCGGGGAGCTCGTAGTCGTCGCCAACATCGCATATAATCCCTGTCTGCTACTTCTCCCCTCTCTTCTTGCCTCCGTGGTCTCGCTCTCTCTTGGTTGGATGTTGGAAGGCGAGGCATGACTCAGGAGGCAGGTGATTCAGATTTGGACATCTAAAATCTAGCATTCCCCTTAAGCTATATTACATTACATATTTCTTCAAGAATTCATTTGCATCAGAACTTCATCTAAAAATACAACAGATTTGATACGTTTCTATATGTGTATACCATGTAAGCGTATCTTCCGGCCGTTGGTTTATTGTTGTCAAAAAAGAAAACGTTCATTGTATGCAGGTTAGCAAACTCGTCGGTTGATTACATATATGATCCTCTATACGATTCATTCTCCTTCTACAATTTGTTGTGATGATGCGATTGCCTTTACATATGTTAACTAAATCACCAGCTAGGATATATCAAGTTAATTTGGTAGCATCCAATTCTTTGTTCCGGCCCTTTTCCCAAGATGACTTTCAAATCCTCTCAACATGTGCCAGCGCTTCATCTCGTTCCATTGTCATTGTTCAAACAAATCTACATTTGAATTTTTTTTAGTAAATACTGCTAGTAAATTATACCCTAAAAGTCTTATAATTCCAATCTGAATACATCATATTTAATTATCATCCTCTTTCTTCCGTTCTCAACCTCTACCAAACCTAAGCTACTTTCCTCTATTTGATCGGCCCCTAATTAACATGGCGGTCGTGGTTCACAAAACCGATAAAAACCGCTTGATATATATTTGTGAAATTTCAAGGTTTGAATCAATTTGAGCTGACAAGCTACTTAGTAAACAGTGGTCGAGTTAAAAAATCCAAATGAAAATTTAAACTTTTGACTCATTTAGTCTAAATTTCACTGGTTTTCATATTATTTTTTTTAGCAATTTTCACAAAACGGACATGCTTGATCGGGAGCAGTTCAAGCTGGGAACGGTTTTGTGAACCCTACTAGGGACTGGGGGAGGCAAATCCCTTCTTTCTGTAAAGTTAAGATCCAAAAGTATGAATTTCCGTGCCTAACTTTAGTCGTCCGTCGTATTTAAATTTTTTTTATAATTAGTATTTTTTTCTATGAGATGATAAAATATGAATAATATTTTATCGTGACTTATGTTTTTAATTTTTTTTAAATTTTTTTTTAAATAAGACGGACGATCAAAGTTGGATATGGAAACTCATAGTTACACTTAAAATGGGACAGATGGAGTACTATCTACGGCTAAAAAAAAACGCCCCACAAAAAAAACAAATGAAATGAAATGACGGGGTGGCCACACGGAAGGTACAAATATTTGTACAATCTTTCTGCAGTAAGATGTGTCACACACTTCGATTTTATCCCTATGATCGAATGCGAATACAGTACAGGACAACGTGCAGCTGATGATATCTAGAGCGAAATTTGGCTTTCTGTAGCTCTGCTTCTGATGAACAGTGCAGAGGCCAGCAGAGAGGCCTGCGTGATGCTAAGCAGGCGACTAGACGTACGTACGATACAGTGATTCATCTTGTTTTATTCTGTCTGTTTACAAGGCACAGAGAGGCTTGGACGCTTGGTCACTTGGCTCTTAATTAAGGCCTTGTTTAGATTTAAAGTTTGCTCTTCAAACTTCCAACTTTACCGTCGCATCGAACTTTTCTACACATACAAACTTTTAACTTTTTCGTCACATCATTTCAATTTTAGCGTGGAACTAAACACACTCTAAGGCCTGGTTTAGTTCCCAACTTTTTCTTTAAACTTTCAATTTTTTCATCATATCAAAATTTTCCTACACACACAAACTTCCAACTTTTTTGTCACATCGTTCCAATTTCAATCAAACTTCTAATTTTGACGTGAACTAAATACACCCTAAAATTGCAGCCTTTTTTTGCTGCTGTGTTGGTTTTGTTGTCATTGCTCACCCTCTACCACTTTTAGACCTCTACCAACCAGGCCTTCACGAATTAAACTGGTTTATGTAACTGAAAGCCTGTGAAATTCCTGGGCGTGCAGGTTATTAGCAGCTAGCATTAGATATATCTTATTGGTTAAAAAAAACAGATGGTCTAATTGGTGGGATAACGAAGAAATTAAAGAATTCGTTATCCCAATCATGCTGGCTTTCTGTAATTTCTGATATATGTACTACTACATGTCTACTTGTCTCTATTGCTGTCTCGCTGTTACCCGTTAGTCCTTGGTAAATATTGAGAGGAGATACAACATATTGAGATTCTATTTGGCACAATTTTGAATCCAAGATTTATGGCTCTAAATCCAGGACTATGTTGATAGCATATAGTTAAATTATTTTGTTCATATTTTGGATGAATTTTAAAATTTTAAGCCACTATATTTTGTCATATAGACCTCAAATCTACCATGGATCTAAGATTTGGAGCTATAACAAACAAGAAAGGCTCATTTAGACCATTTTCATTTTTCTTGGGCTGCAACTTCTTATTTCCCTCTTGATTGAATTACTTCTAGCTTTTGCCGAAAAAATATATTGAGAATTGCTTAGTAATTTTCGCAGCAAAGTACGGGGAATCACAAAGTATATATGTGGTTGTGGAGACTTGTGCAGCGGTTCTTTAAAAACTTTGGCCACTGTTTAAGTGAATTGGAAATTAATTCTAATAAATAGTTGGTGATTATCTGGCTGATGAGAATATAGAGATTAATTAATTCCGATAAGTAGCTGGCTACTAGTTTATTTTTAAATTATATAATCACTGAGATTTGTAATTGAGTGGAAAATCTGAATTGTTTTAGGGGAGAGAGAGATTTTCAGAATAGTGTAAGAAGCTCCTAGAAAAGGAGCCTTAATTTTGAGGATTTTTACAATATGATATAAAGGTAGTATATAATAAACATAATTTATGAATATGTCACAAAATAAAAATTATATTATAGTAATTTCGTGTTTTAGTGCCTAATTACCACTAAGTCATATGTTCACGGTGGCGGTACGCATGGACTAGCAGTGGCTGTCGTTGTCTATGTTATTTTACTATATGCTCGAATTTACAGAATTGATACCATCCAATAGTATAGAAAAATAATTTTACCCTTTTAATTTTGCAGCACAATCTACTTAAGTAATAGAATAAATAAATAGAAACCCTTGGATCACTTATACTGTTATTAGAAGTTCTCATCTTGGCTCTATGGCTATGGTGGATCTGTCGGATGGTTTTTTCTCTCTTTTGCAGCGTGGTTGTACTGTCTCAGCTATCTTTCGACCATTCATATATGCAAGAAGTGTGTGTGTGTGTTGATCATCAACAATTATTATCAATTTTCGTACGTACATCAATTAATATACATTTTGGTCACACCAATTAATTCGAGAAGGAAGATCACCTTTACTCCGTGCCTTATCTTGCCGCAGCTAAAAAGTAAATCCACAGCAGCGCTCTGGCCGGCCTCTGTTTATACTCGAGAGATAACAGTCAAGGAAGAAGAGAACAAAGCAAGGGTGAGAGGAGGAGGCGCCAATTAACATGGGGTTTATTGCGCTCGCACCGATGCAATGCACCAGCAGCTAGCAGAGAGCATTCATGCAGGCATGCGTTGCACCAGCGAGCGAGAGCATTCGTTTGCTGGGAAGAAAGCCGGACAAAAATTGTTACTCCAGTAGTGACAACTGTGTGAGAAAGCTATTTACTCTGTCCCATTTTAATTGTAGCTGTGGGTTCCTATATTTTATATTTAACCACTTGTCTTATTTAAAAATCTTATAACAATAATAATAATAATAATTAGAGAATAAAACATAAATAGTATTTTATATTTATTTTTTTTAAAAAATAAAATAAAATAAACGATTAAACGCTAGACATGAAAACATGCCAATGCATACAGAGTAGGTCAGAGCAAAAGCTGCCCCGCGCAACCGGACAATACGCGCTGCGCCCCGTGGTGGCAGCCATCGATGCCACAGCCACAGCCACAGCCACAGCGCACAGCAGAGAGATGGTGGTGGTGGTGGTGGCCATGGCTGGGAGATGGAGATAGCTAAAAGCTGTTGATCGAGAGGTTGATGACGACGACGACGACGCAAGAGGACAGAGGAGGAGACGAGGAGTACGTACGTACTACGTGAGGCTCGGCTCGACTGGAGAGCGGTCAAAGGAATCTCTTTGCTAGACACTGCAACAACTGCATTTGTAGCTGCCTGCGTGCCTGCCTGCAGCCTCTGCCTCTGCTGCGATGCTAAGCTGAGCTCTTCTGCTGCTGCCGCGTCTGTGTGCCTCTGCATGCAATGCCAAATGGCGTGTCGTCCATCGGCATCGACTGCCTCTCCCGTCGGTTGGTAACGTACGCT